GTTGTACATCTGGCAGGCGAAGGTTTTGTTGGGCTGCAGGATGAGGATGTGCAGCACCGTGTTTCCTGGGGAGGACAGGCTCTCCTGTGGTCACAGGCCTACTGTCCCTGATGGCCCCATTCCCACCTGGGATGGCCTGTTCCCTCCTCCCCACAGCATCCCAGTATCCATCTCCATCCAGTTCCTACCCAGTGAGTCCTGGGCCCGGATGTCGGCTCCATGCTCTATGAGCAGCGACATGATCCCCTTGCTGCCCATGTAGGCTGCAAAGGATAGAGGGTATTGTTGTGGGAACACAGGGGGATCAATGGAAGGAGACAGCAGGGTCAGGATGAGAAGGGCAGTGTCCCCAGGTGACTGCCTGCTCCTCCCTACACCCAAGCTGGGGGTTGTGGTCTCTAGTCCAGCAGAACCAGAGCAAAGGACAGTGCAGAGCTTGTGAGGGCACACAGTCTCTGGCCTTCAGTCCTGCAAGGCTTGCTCCATCTGAAGAGAGCCTACCTTAGTCACCTGCATATCACTACTCTCCTCTCCTCTCTCCTTTCCTCCCAGCCTGGCCCTAATGCTCATCATAGGAGATCAGGTTGTGGGAACTGCTGGAAGGCAAGGCCTGAATCCTTGGCAGAAAAGCTGGGCCCTTCCTCTCTCTCTCCCTCCCTTCCTCCTCCATCCTTACTTGTCCTTGTCTCTTTTCTGTATTCTCACATGTTAGTTCCTGCAGTAGTCCATCAGCATTTTTAAGAATCATCAATTCTCAGGCCCACCTGTTGACCTGGAATATCAGAACACAGTTAAAAAAAAAAAAAAAAAAAAAAACCTCAGATGATTCTTTTGCATATTAGTGTCAGAGAGGCATCACTCAAGTTGGTAACTGAAATATGGTCCCTGCATGGAAGCATTTGCAGTGATAAATCTGAGACAAGCTCAGGGATTTCCATTTTCATCAGCACACATTACAGCTCACGAAGCAGTGTTCTTCATCACTCTCAGACTTGCCATCTACAGGGCTTAAGTGTCCCTTTAGCCCCACTATTAGCACCTGTAAAGATACACACTGTGCAATAATGATAGAGAAAAAAGAAACTAGAGAATCCAATTTGCCAGATTAACTCTTTGAATTTCACCTGGATCTGAATGTTACCATTCTTTCTTTTCTCTAGCTTACAAAACTTAGATTTGTAGGTTCTGTTTCTTTTTCCTGGTCCCTCACCTTTTCCTATTAACCACTTTCACTTGTTTCAGGCAAAAATCATCTCTAACTCCCCAGATCAACTCTCTAGTCTTATTCCGGCAATGCACTAGCCATCTCTTATAAAGTCAGAACTTGGCCCAACTAAGGCACATGCATCTTTTTTGTTCCATTTTCCCTGTTGGCCTGGAGCTATCTGGTCTTTCTGTGAGAGCAAATATAAAAACCCTATTTATCCATTGACGGCCAATTAGGTGACACAAAAATGACATTACAGGAACTGAAGTGCTGACAGTGGCAAGAAATCTAGTGTAAGGCTGTGGGTAGAGAGGAAATGTGGCTCATACTGCTCTCTGACCACAGACCCACTTGGCCCAGCAGGCCCCAGAGGTTACCTCCAGGCCCTGTGTACTCAGTAGCTAAACTTTTGTCTCCATTCATTCCCCTCCTTTTTGTCCCTACAATACCCATGAATGCATGTGTTCACTCTCCAGCCCGACATTAGCGAAAAATCCTCCTACCACTCTCCCTGCACCCTGTCTCCACCTAATCCATGCTTGGTACTACCGCAGAAACTTTTCAAACTGGGAAATGCCATCAGAGCTCGCAAAAGTCCAATGGCTCCTTCAGCGCTCAAGGGGCAGGAACATAGAGTCCTTCAAGGTCTTTGTGCAACTCTTCTCCCACCCTCTGCTGCTCCCACTCACTCCTCACTCTCAGCATTTTGTTCTCCCCACGTCTCAGCACCATGGAGCACACAGTTCTCCCTGTGCCTGCACCCACAAGGCTCCTTCTCCCTCCATCAACTCCCCTGGCCAGCATTGTTCATTGTCTGCTCTGCCCTCCCCTTGCAGGGAAAATGCCTAGCGTGCAGTGACTACTCACTAGGCCTAGCTGTAGAATGGATGAATCAGTAGTGGTGCCAACAGGTGGTTTGGCTTTACTGCCCCTCCTTATTATCTCCAGCAGCCACCCCTAAGCCAGCCTTAAGGAAACGTATAATCTAAGTGAAAAACAGTATGCTCGGTATGCAAGCCCAGCAGCAAAACAAGTTTTCTGCACCGTCTTCACTCTAACCATTTGACCAAAGCCTCCTCTACAGATACGCTTCCCTTCCCCACCCTCATACATGCACACACACACATCCCCAGGATGTTTTCCACTGTCCTTTGACCTTACTTTTATTCCAGTATCTTGCACTGTGTGTTGTAATCAGTATCTGTCTCTCTCCCTGCACTATGGGTCCATAGATTTCCCTTTAGGTTTCTGCACATCTGTGATGCTTGCAAATGTCCTCCACAAGCCTCTGAGCTCCTTTGCTCACCTCTACTACTAACCTACTAGGCCTTGGGAAGACCTAGTGTTGCTTGATTTGCCACGTAAAGATACAAGATACTCAATTAAATTTGAATCTAGTATACACTGCTTTAACTATATACGTGTGTGTGTGTGTGTGTGTGTGTGTGCGTGTGTGTATGCCCGTACTATATTTGGAACATGCTTGCTTATAACAAAAAATTACTCTTTGACTTGTCTGTAGTTCAAATTGAACTAGGTGTGCTATATTCTACCTGGAAATCTAGAAGACCACATTCTAGATGAAGAAACTATTTCTCTAATATGCTACCCTGCGATAACTTCAATCTACTACTCTTTGATGTTGCAGCTAAGAAAAATACGTACATACAATACTGGTGTGTGGTTACATTGAGAGTTTTATTGTATGAATACATGGCAGATTTTATTAGTGAAAATTCCTTGAGGTGCTGAAGAAGAATTAGGAAAGCTTCTTTTCTGTCTAAACAAAATCAGGCATTTTTAGAGGATATATTTCAGGAATAGATATCCACAAGACTTGTACTTTCCTGGTATATGAACAGAGACAGAAACATTGAGATTCTGTTGCATCTAGGAGTCTGTTGTATGGGGCTCTCAGAAGGCCCAAAAGTCACTTCTAGCTCACTAGAGGAAAGGACTTCTAGTTCTTCTAGAAGAACTAGATGGGGCAATCCATTAGAGACCTTAAAGTGGAAAACACATACAGAGTACCCTCAAAATCAGGTAAGTACCCCTGTGCTCCACCCAGGGACTCACCCCCTGCCCCAGGCCTCTCACACAGGGAAGACCTTCAAAGAGATTATAGATCTCCCCATTGGCTTTGAGACACTTGGTGACCATTTCTGGCTATGGGATAGAAGGGCTCCTTGTTGTGGAAAGCTATTTGAGCTCTTGTGCTGGGCCTAAAGCCAGTTCCTGGAGCCCTGAGCAAGCAGTGCAGTTTGATTAACTGCCTTCCCCATCTACCAGGAGTCACTGGATTCAGTCTGGGTGGAGGAAGGTGCTACGATCCAAACCTTGAACCCAGGATCTTTGTGCCCCTTAAGCCAAGTGTTTGCCTGCTGACCAACCCCACTTGCTCTTATTCTGCCCCAAGAAAAGACCCAGTTTAATCCCCAGTTAGGAAGAGGACAAGGCAATGTGGTGTGTGTCCTGCTGGGAAGGGCACCTATAGGAGGATAGGAGAGAGTTCCCAGGGGAAAGAGAGACCCTGAGAATGGAGGGCAAACCCCACTCCCCA